TATAATATAGGCTTGTGCCATTTGCCCTCCTCTCACGACCCTCAAGAGAGGCCCCATGAAGCTGCCTCCCCCTCCTCAACTGATCTGCGGAATGGCCTGCCACTTTGCTGGGGGAAGGTGGAACAAAGGGAGTTGTGGACCACGAAGAAAACTGCAACCCTGCCCCCCATTCCGACATGTCCCCAAGGGCCCCCTCCCTTGAGGGAGGAAGAGGGCTTACCCATTGACAGCCAGCAGCCCCCAGCCAGCCCTGCCTCACTGGCAGGCATCCAAGTCACCCCCTCATCCTTCTCTCAACACGCACAGCCATTAAGAGATTTCAAATTTCTGCCTCATTTCCAAAGCAGCCAATTGCCACTCGTCTGTTGGGCCTTGCTGCCAGCCAATTAGGCACAGGGGAGGGAGGAAAGAGGTCGGGGATACACCCATGATGATCATGTGACCTGGGCTGATACTGATGGTGCAGCAGCACAGTAGTGCTGAAACAGCTACAAATTTCCCAAATTTCAATCCCACAGATATAATGGGTCCTGGATTTTGGATGCATTCTGTAAATTAGCCCATCTGAGGTGCCTTGGTTCAAAATTGTTGCCCTATGACACACCGTTTTGCCCAGTTGAAGGTTACAGACACAAGAGTTTTAGTAGTATATAGATACCACTCCTAATAGCTTTTTTAAGAGAAGAAAATCCCACAGCTGTGTTACAACCATTGTATACATATCTACATGCAGATTTAATATGTTAAAAATCAGATTTATTGTTGTAATGATTGCAATATAGGAGATTTATAATCTTGGATACTTTAGTACAGTATAAGACTTGGGATGCAGTCTTAAGTACATATACTTAATAGTAAGCACTATTGAACTATTAATCTATATCAATAATGTCCCCAAAATATTTCAACCCCCCCTCCTTTTCTGACCTTGATGATAAAGCTAATCTAAACAAAGGAAACTTGCAAGGCTGCATACTATGAAGGACACTGCTATGTCCATTTTGAACTGCTGCCTGTACACATCCATGTCCTCTGTTCAAAATGTTTGGGGCTATATATGCATTAAAGTTTGACCTATTGTGGGACAGTGGAGATAGTTTTGAAGTAACTTTGGAGTGGTGTGGATTTATTTTAAGCATCTGAAGTATACTTTTTGATAAAGATACAAGCATACTTTGATTCTGCCATTTTGGGATAGCTTTTCCTTCTTAGGCACACACCTTTTGTGTTATTTCAGGGTTGATGTCGGAAAGCAGAAATTGCTTATGCTGTTGACTGTTGTATCCTGTTTTGTTGATCAGGAGTGGGGTAATTAAGGCTTTCGAGGTTCTGTATAAAACTGGCAACACAGAAGAGCATGTTCAATAGTTATTACCTGCCGGAGTCACAAGGACATACTTGTAATGAATATGGTGTCTTTTTGTATCTTCCAGCCAGAAGTGCTGAAGGGAGAGCATTACATTGGGCTAAGGTAAAGGCCCTTCTCTGATTTGGGATGTTAAGCTGTGTGAGATTCACAGCTGGTGCCCGAGTGTATCTCTGGGTATCTGCCATGGGAAGCACTAACACCAGTTTCTAATGAGAAATTCGCCACAGTGTTCACTGTTTTCTATATGAAATCCTAAGCTGTTTTAATGTTTCAGCCATTGTTTAAGAGAAGGTTAAATTGTTGCACTAGGGAGTGCAGAAAGTATAAAGAGATTGACAATGTACTTTCATGAATACTTTCAAATGTATAGTCTAAAAGTAGCCCATATAGCCTCGAGATGGCTGCCTCTTACTAAACATTCTTATATTTGAAGAATGCAGAAAATGGCTCTTGTCAAATAATACATATATAATCCATTTAGGAATTCAAAGGAACCAAGACAAATCATTGGTATATAGTGATGCTAACATTGTAAAAGCATTTGTTTTGCTTACTAACATACAATTAAGAAATGGCATTACGTTTTTTTTAAAAAAGAACTACCACAATCCAAGCCCAACAAGAAGACTAGAAAGCCATAAATACTACCAGCTTTTTTTTTATTATAGATATAAACAAGATTATCTATTGTGTTTTTTCAGCACATTCTACAGAGGAAAATAGAAATGTAAGAATCGCTCTTCATCACTGTGACCCCTAAATTAACCAATTCCATTGTTTCCACTGAGAAAACCATGTCAAGTGTAATGTAAGAATGCTGTTCCAACTATTTTTTCAGTGGTATTTTAATGGTTATTCCAACAATAATACAATTTCAAAGCTATTTTAGAGAACCTTCCTGGATTACAGCCAGAATAGTTTTCTCTGAAAATAAAGCAATAACATTTTTGGTTTTATTTTGTTTCCTACATACTCATCACTATCACAGGAGCCCTAAGAAAGCCTTGCAATATTTGACGGTGTACAGCAATATTTCATCACTCATTTTTAACCTAACCACAATCAATTGGAATTTATGCAAACATTGCTGCAAAAAGTAAATTCATTCGGATCTGGAAATGTGATTATAGGAGAGTTCAATCAAATTCTGAACAGAGAATTGGACTGATCTTCTAAAACGGAGTGGGGAAAATATGACATTTTAAAAAAATATTGCTAGTTTTATTGATATATACTGATATGAACAATTCATTCAAGGCAATAGAACTAATCACTTAACAGATTATCCTAAGATTTAATTTTAAACAATGCATCTGACAGATTCCAGCTTTTTCCTGATTCAGTTAAACATGATCTAAGTCGTAAGAGAGGGTGGGATACATATACTGTGTGCACAATTATTAGGCAAGTTGTATTTTTGAGGATGAATTTCATTATTAAACAACTACAGTGCTCTCAGTCAACCCAAAATGTTAATAAAT